AGTAAGTGTTGAAGTGTGAATGATGAAGCAGATGTCTTTAATTACCTCTCCAAGGCAATATAAAAGAAAAAAATGAAATTGTGATACATACATACAGTTTTTTGTCTTATTGTCCTCCTTAATCTGATATTGTGACCTTCTTCAATTGTCCTAAAATACAATATTTCCTCATATTTAACACACACTACTACACTATCTGACTTTTCCTGTTTAATTGTACAATAACAAATTCGTCATGCAATCAGGACATGTACAATTACAACTAACTGATGAAAGTTCCCAATTTCCTTTTCTTATAAATCTGTTGTTTCTTGTGTGTTTAAAAATACAACTGTCTCATCCCACACTTTCCTTGTTGTGGTTCACACTTGAAGCCACAGTCAATAGGAAATGGGCTTTCTGAAGCTGAATTCCTCTTGACTCACAAGATAAGGATGCATGTCAGGGCAAACCAATTAGTTCAGGATGCTCTCCCCTTTGGCTGCGGAGGCCACTACAGACAGCCATGGCCCCAAGAAGGAAGGCCTGCTTTGGGCCACATCACACAGAGCGGGGCCCCCTGTGGTCACTCCGGGCACTGCGTCTTCCTATTGCTCTATTGTGGGCTCTGTATTGATGTTTTTGTTTAGAGTCCAGCTCCCTTTTGTGTTGTTTATGTGCATTCTTTATTTGGGGCTGATCTCTGTGTGTGTCCCTGGGCATCTCAAAAGAAATTCGTGGCTGCGTTTTTCTTTCATGATGAGAGTTGAAAGGAGCGGACTGAGAGGAGGGGGATGAATTGGGAGTTATGGAGTCCATGTGTGGAGGCCTACAAAGGACAGCATGTCTTATTAGAAATACATGCATGTGTTTTGATGTATCCACAAGGAATTAGGACTGGAGCCATTGGATGTTGAAACCAGACAGTCAACAACCTTATGGAGTGTCCTCAGTGCATAGTTTCTAGAAAAAATATTTTCATTAATACAAATGGCATACAAATAAATGCAAATAATAAATTTCCTTCAGGATAAATAAAGTATTATCTATCTGTCTATCTATTTTTGTGCAATTGTGCAATTAATACAATTTTAATTCAGATCTGTTGACTAATTTCTAATTGTGAATTATCTGGATCTTTTAGAGCTACCATCCGTGCGTTTATTTTATGTATTTTTTTCACCATTAGATGAGAGATGTGAAATCTGTTCATCAATATATCAATGGCTTTAAACATATAGTATGCGTTATTCATTCTTTTTAAACCACTATGGACACCTGCCGGTATATTATTTATATAACAGTATCACAAGCTTTAAAGTTCCTATATTACACAAAATTGAATTGTTTTAGTTTAGTCATGTTATAATGCTCTTATGTCCTCAGAAACATACCTGGAGTTGTGTTTTGTTTCATTTGAGATTTTTTTTAATTTTTATTAGTCTGTCTGTCTGCATCTCCAAAGCTTAAAATGCCCTGTTCCACCTTGTGATGTCATGTACTGGTAGTTTTCATGTTAACAGCTACTTTTTACCTTTAGTTCATTAGAGATTGGTAATTGAAGGGCTGAAACAATCCAGATGATTCTAGTGAAGCGATGTGGAGTTTAAAACACAGTGAAACAATTCCTGTTATATTACATGACATCACAAGGTGGAACGGAGTGTTTCCTATTTGAGAGAAGAACATAGCCTAAATGCATGGTTTATGTATTAAACATTCTAGGTATGATTGATTTTGAAGAGAAAACAACATTATAAATATCAGAAAATTGTGTAATATGGACCCTTTAAAGTTTAAAACAGTCAGTTTTGTAATATAATGGCGCATACCATCTGTGTGGGATATGGTTTGACTGCTCTTACACTCAGAGTAAATAAATGACTCTCTAAACGTGGTCTGGTTGCTTACTGGTCATTGTCGGGTCAAAAAAACACATTTATTCAGTGTTTTCATTTTCTTCACACAGGTAAGAAATGAGGAGGCTGCTGCTTTGGTTGAAGGACTTGATCGATCTGGCTTTTTAGAGGAAACATTTTTGAGGACTGAGCACTTAAACCTTTGCTGCACTTCACGTTACGGCTGCAGTAGAACAGAAGAGAAGAGGCTGTTTTAAGCTTGAAGAGTGAATATTCAATCATTCATTTGGTGGTTTCACAAGATAATGTGCTGGAAAGATTGGAGTTACTGCAAAGAAGAAATAAAGATTGTACAAAAGGTTGCAAAGCTGTATTAACTTCCGTTTAAGCTGTATGGCTAACTTGAGCTTGAACTTCATCATATTTCAATGTTTTTCAAGATAAAGCATTACACACAAACTCACTGTACTCAGCGAATCACAAAATAAAGTTGACAGTTAAGTTTTATTTAGCTCTCTAATGTTTTGCTGTTTAAGGTAAATATCAAATACATGTTGCTGTTTTTTTTAAATTCTTCACTGCAAAAATGAGAAAATGATCTTTCTTCCAGTCAGACGAATTTTTTTAGGTAAATGAAATGTTTTGGGTTAGAGTTGTGACATTCACTTTTTTTCCACATTTTTTGTGAGAAACATTAAGAGTGTGGGTGTCTCGGTGTAACATTTGACTTATTTGCTGCAATAGAAATCTATTAAGTGTTAATCATGTTTTAACTGATATTAATGATTATTAATAACATTATTAACAGTCAGAGAGGGGTTTCCTTTCTTTCGCAACACAGCGCGCGCGAGCGCACAATGGTACTGCTGCAAATTATGACTCCCAAATGCCCCACAGTCTTTAAGACCAAATATAACCAAGGACTTTTGAGGAGTGTGTGATGGATTATAAACATCACTTAAACCTGTCACGACAGTTACTATATCAAATTATCGTTCAATGGGTGTCAGTTTTTTGGGGGGGTACCACCTTCTTTGTGGGAAAGTTTTGGTTATTTTTCTGTTGTACAATAAGATTTGAGCTGAATAGTGTTGGATAGATATATAACTTATGTCTCATTTTAGATGTGGGCCTATCCTATCTACTTAAGATATCTGCTAATTCTGCTTTTTATTTTTCCCAAATGATTTTGGGGATATTTTTTCATTATGGTGTCCGTGGTATAACATTAGTTTCAATACTATCATTTATCGTCTGTATTTTCTCCAGCTGTTTTCATGGGCCGCTCCACAGACCTCCACATATTACAAGTTTTACGGAGATGTCTTGTTGAGTCTTTGATAACTATAAAACCGAATAACGTCGGACTTGGACAGATGACTCCTGATAGATGTGTGTTCTTTTTGTGATAAGTTTGACCTCTGCAATAGCGCCCCCTGCTGAATAAACTACCAACAGATGTTGGTAGTTCACAAAGACACAACTGACACCAGACTGTCTGTACCAAAGCATTGGTTGATTTCTCCAAATAACGCCGAATACACATCTGCAGGATAAACTGCTGCTATGAGAGCACACTCTGATACTTTGCTTTATTACTTTCATACTTTGTCATAAAACAGCAATGTTTACAAGATCACCTGTAGGTGGCGACAAAGACCTAAACACTGCACCGGTCTATACAGCAAGGATGACTTCAACTCACTGACTGTACAACAGGATTGACTGTTTTTAAGTTAAGTTTTATTTTTATTATTTAAATATATTTTGAAGCTTTAAGGATTCTTATTAAATATCTTAAAATTAAATCAATGATATTTCAATACTGAACTAGAGGTTAAATGTAAGTATTACACATGACAGTATAGTACATCTGTGATACTTCTTATAGTCAAATAATCTCTTCAAGATTAACCTTTGTAATATAACCTCAAGCTAATGTCCTTTAGCAGAGTCCATGCCCCTCTGTGTTAAGAGTGGTGCAGAGTGTCTTATATTTAGCACCAGACCCGGAGAACAGCCAAAGATAGTTCACCTCAAAATTATTTTATTCAAGAAGAATAAAAAAGTTATGACCTAACATCATTCAAAAACAAAATGCCAGATTGATCTGGCATTTTGTCACAGGACTGTGATCAGATAAAAATGAATTCAATTAAAATAATATTCCAGGGGAAAAAAAGTTGAATGTTCCACATAAAAATGTATATTATCTGATGACAACAGTTTATTTCCTTGTGTGATAATTTATTGTAAATTATTAAAGGTCCTATGTTATGTAAAACTGACTCCTCTGAGCTTTTAGCCCTGTTATAATGCTGTTACTTTATCAGAAACACTGGATTGTGTTTTATTTCATTCACACGTTTCAGTTCCACCTTGTGATGTCATCAAGTGGTAATTTTAAAGTTAAGTTTTTTGTTTTGTTTTTTCTCACTTAAACAGTTTACTCTACAATATTCTAGAATAAGTTTTTGGCTTTAAATATTTTGTTTCAATGAGCTTGTCAATAAAAAGTCTCTAATACCTGCTGGTGCATCGATGAGTAACGCTGTTTCAATGGGGCTAAAACAATATCTGTAGCTTCAAAACACAGTGGAGCATTTCCTATATTATCTTTTAATGACTCAAGGTGGAAAAGACTATTTTCAGTTTGAGAGAAGAACACAGTCTAAATATGCAGGATTTGTGAGTTAAACATGTGTAAATAAAACAAAACTCCAGGTGTATTTTTGATGAGGAAACAATTTAACATAGATCAGAAAGTAGTGCAATATAAGATTTTCAGCCGTAGATCTCACTCTACTTTATTTTTTTCCGTCAATTAATTATTTTGCTGATGAAGATACATCAGGCACAAATAATGGTTTCAACAACTTATCTCCCAAGCTTACATAAATAGTCAGAATTCCATTTTTGTCAGAAAGGGCATCCAGTCTAAAACATGTGCCATATATTTTGTAGTCTCTGTTGTGTATTTCGTGTTCATTTCTCTCTCTCTAGTTGTATAGTACAATGTAATTTGATATGATCCAAATAGACATGTTTCTTTCTGGGGTCCAGAATACACACTTCTTCAGTACTTTATGAAGATGTGAGTCTGGTCACTGGTGAATCTACGTATTCAAATAGGCATGATTGACAGGTGAATTAGCCAATCAGAAGCACGCATGGTCCACTGTATTGGGGGAAAAAAATAAAAAATAAATATCATAGGGAACTGAAAAACATTGCGGATTTCTGCAAAATCAATGAGTGAGGCACTAAACTGAGGTGACATAAATTTGATTTGATTTGTAAGTGATGAGTGACCATTGAGCCCCTTCGTTTCACACATGTCACTGATAAAAAGACACATCTGATTGCACAATCACAGAGGGCATGGGGGACCAGACCGATATTGATCTGTATAAAAAAATGTAGAGAGATATCATTGTGGATTTCCAGGCAATGCTTATAAGAGTATTGAGTAGTGGCTATATTTAAAACTCATGGGTTCGTTCTCCTCACACTTTTCCCAGAGTCTGTTTACATGCCCCACGCCCAACCACATGCTCAGCTGAGATACATCTGCTATTGGCCCAACCCTAAATAACTCTCCTTCTGACTGACTGATCAACTGCCCCCCCAACCCATACCCCCACCCCATACCCCACCAAAGCTTGTCCCATGCAGAGGCCGGAGGTGGGACAGAGAAGCGTGCAAGTGTGTCACCAGAGGATAGTTAAAATATGACTAGAGAGGTTTGTGATGTTAAACCATTTCTGATTTCAGTCTTGTATGTAGATATAGTATAGCTGTTTGTATAGGCAAGTGGACTATTTATGTGCTTCAAACTATTGTGAAACTGGACTATTTGTTACCTGGTGGGATTTGACATAGTTCTGGATACATGGATATGAGTTTTTTTTTTCTAAACAGGTGAGTGTACCACAAGAACTTAAAAGTGGGACATCGCTATGAATGGTTGAGAGAAAAAGTGAGACAGAACTGGCACATTTGGGTCAAAGCAGCTGACCTCTGGAGAACTACAAAAACTGCAAATGAAGAAAGCAAGGGGATTTAACAATTGAAGAGCTGAAGAAGAGAAAACATTTTGTTGTGTTGTTATAATAAATGAGGTACTGACTGATTTAGATTTGAATTACACTGGTGCCAGAATTAACCAAAAACTCACTTTAATTTGACCCAAATCCTGAACAGCATTCGGATTTTTAAAACCATTTCTGCACTTGTGAAGTCCCTGCAGTCCTTGCTGGTTTATTTTTTACCCCTCTGTCCCAGTTATGGATCCCCAGACTGGCCCATACCTCAACAAAAGGGCGCTGTGCTCTCCCTTGGGTGCTGCCCGTGTGTGTCAGCTGGCTCTGGGCTGTGCTGTCATTGCCCTGATCGCCCACGGAGCAGGGTACAGCGGGTCGCACGGGGAGTTCTGTATGGCAGCGTGGTGCTTCTGCTTCGCCATGACAGTCGTGATCTTCTTCCTGGATGCGACTCGTCTCTACAGTTGTCTGCCCATCTCCTGGGACAACTTCACAGTGACATGTGCGGCCTTTGCTACACTCATGTAAGTTTGGAGATGAGGGCAAAGAGAAAGAATCACTATTTTTGCTACAGGGCATATACTGATCCTTGTGGAAGGAGTAGGAGTAAGACTGTGAGGCCCTGATTTTAAATGGCTGAAGTTAGATATTTCCTTGACTATGTTTGGTACCACTTTATAATCACTACATCTTAATTAGCCCTTCTTCACATTGAATACATTGATTATTAAGAATGATTTAGGCTTAGTAACTACTTAAAGGCACATTGTATACCTTTTCTGATGAAGAATCTGCCACCTGCTTGTCTACATGGAGATATTATTGCTTTGTCTGGAATGTTTCAGTGTATGGCATTAAAGCTTTCTATCATCATGGAGACCAAACCAGGGCAAGCTGCAGGTCAGATTTCTGGAGAGGCAACCCCGCTCACTGTCAGAAGCCATGTTTTTCAAGGTATTTTTGAGCAATAAAACCACCAGTAATTGAACAGGTGAAAGGTAAATCTATTTAAAGTTATACTGAGAAACATTCCAAGCAGAGCAATGAGAAGTTACCTTGTGCACCTTTTACTAAGGTGTTAGGAGTTTAAAATTAGAGTACTGATAAAGTAGTTACTAAGCTAGAATTATTCTTATTAAAACAATTTCTTCATTATGGGTTAAGTCTTTGTTCATGTTTTATTAAGTGTAGTTTTTATATTTTCTTATCATTAAATTTCTCAAATGGAAACTTGGAGTTAGTAACAGGCCCTACTTAAAATTGCTAAAGCACTTAATGTGAAATTATGATGCATGTTTGACAAAGACAAACTTTGTCTTGTATAATAATAATAATAATAAAGTATTCAGAAGTGTATATAGAGCAGGTAACTACCACAAAGACATAAGAACTGTTTTATAATAATATACACAAACAATAATGTTTCTGGTCAAAATAACTTGTCTAATATGCTTTTCTTTCTGCAGGTATGTAACAGCATCTGTGGTCTATCCACTCTTCTTCGTGCGTTCCGAGTGCCCCTATGAAGGTTGCCACATCCGGAACTTTCGTATTGCAGTCACTGTTTGTTCGATCCTGTGTACAGTGTCCTATGGGGTAGAGGTGGCCCTGTGCCGAGCCAGGCCAGGACAGGCTGTGGTGGGCTACATGGCCACAGTCTCTGGACTACTCAAAGTGGTCCAGGGTTTTGTGGCGTGCATTATATTTGGAGCTCTGGCCAACAAGAGCGAGTATTCCCGATATGAAGCCACCATCTACTGTGTGGTGGTGTATTCTTTCTGCTTTGCCCTCACAGCTGTAGTGGTCTTGATGACAGTGTGTGGCAGGACTAGAACTGTTCTGTGCATGCCTTTTGAGCGGTTTGTTGTGGTCTGTACACTGCTGGAGGTGCTGCTGTACCTGAGCGCGTCAGTGGTGTGGCCAGTTTTCTGTTTTGAGTCTAAATACGGGTCTCCAGAGAGGCCATACCACTGTCCCCGGGGGAAGTGCCCATGGGACAGTAAACTGGTGGTGGCTGTTTTCTCCTTTGTTAACCTGATCTTGTATGGGGCAGACCTTCTGTACTCTCAGACCATGAAGTTTGTGTCCACGCGTCTGCCCACTGCTCCAAGGGTCTAGGTGTCAACAATAATTCTGGACTTTTTTTTTTACATATAGAAAAATAAATGTAGCCTCTATGGGTCAACCAGTTCTGCATTATTTAATGTTGTGGCAGTACATTCTCCAAATCTTTTGATGGTGGTTGAGGCAGGATTCTGGAAATTCTGCCTCTAATGGAACAATATGTCTCAGTGGTAAAGGGGGAAGTTTTTCATCTATTTATCACTGTTAGATTGGGTTTTGCTTAAAGGTCCTATATTATGCAATATTGACTCTTATGAGCTTTCAGACATGTTAGAAAGTTGTTACCTCCTCAAAAACAGACCTGGAGCTATTAGCCTGTCCATCACCAGAGCTCAAAACACCCTGTTCCACCTTGTGATGTCATGAAGTGCAGTTTTTAAGTTAACATCTACCTTTTACCTTTTGTTCGGCAGATATAGGCAATTCCAGGGCTGAAATTATCCAAATGATTCTAGTGAAGGTGTGTGGAGTTTAAAAACACAGTGGAGCACTTAAGGTGGAATAGTTAGAAGTGTTTTATTTTTTCATTTTTTAAATTTAAACTATGTAACAACTGGATACTAAAGTTGAGGTCATACAAATGTTATATTCTATATCACTACAAAATGACAAAAAATCACTATAAATAACTAACATAAATAATACTTTATTATTACATCAAATGGTACTTCTCACTTATTTGACAGAATGTCTGTTGTAGAATATAATGGGACAGTTTTGTCAACCATCCGAGTGATGTGAATAATGTCATTAATGTCTCTACTACACCTGCCCCAGTCCTAACCTTTACCCTATGAGAAATGAACTGACCCAGCCCTCTGAGCACCAGCCATCCACTCATCTGTGCCATCAAATCCTCCTCAGATTACACATTATTTCAATCCCGTCCAGACGCACACCCAAAATACTTCACTGGATTACAACTAAATAGTATAAATACTTGTAATGCTGGCATGTTTGGCATGTTTGTCATGTGTGAGTCCCATAGCAGCGGCCAGTGGCTTGTGCCAAAAATAACAATGCGGTTATGTACAGTAGTCCAGCCATGAGACAGCAGTTGGCCAAATACAAAAGTTAGCTCAGACAACTCTAAAATGTCACCATATTCCCATTGGTGGTTTTCAGGTTCTGTAATGATGTCATTTTCAAGACAGTTTATTACAAGACAGTCAAGACAGTTTATTACAATGTAAGCGAAATATCCTGAAGGTAAACTCACAAATCTTAAATCTGATCATGTCTGTTAGTGACGTGACTCCAGAACTCACTATGTTACAACAAAAATCTCTATTTTAGCTGTGCTCTGTATTAAATATTATTGGCCTACAGAATGCTGTGATGTCATCTGAAACCCAGCAAATGACAGGGCCTCTCTCAATTATTTGTGCTCAGTCTCGCAATGATACATTTCAACATAAGTGTCTACTTTTTGGGACAACATGTGGCAAGAGTTCATGTTTGTTTGTTAAAGATTATTAAACTGTTTTCAGATCGACTGTATGTTATAATGCTGTTTCCGGTTTGTGGCGTACATTATGTTTAACACACACAACCTCTATATGTAGAAGAAGTTTTTCTCTCAAACAGAAAACACTCTTTTTCACCTTGTGATGCCATGTGGTAATACAGGAAGCTCTCCATTGTGTTTTTAAACTCCATACACCTTCACTAGACTCACTTGGATAATTTTAACAGTAAAAGGAGCTGTTAACTTGAAAACTACATAACATCACAGATGGAACAGAACGTTTTGAGCTTTGAGCTTTGGAGATGTAGACAGACTAATAATAAAGAGTTACTAAAACATGTGTGAATGAAACAAAACACAACTCCAGGTCTGTTTTTGAGGAGGTAACAGCATTATAACATGGCTTACAGCTCACTAGAATCAGTTTTGCATAACATTGGCCCTATAGCTTCCACTACCAAATACCCATATTATGGCAATGAGTTGCAAACAATGAACAACAATTTTGGTTAAATATGATACATTTAATCATCACTTGGTTTCCTTCCCTCTGAGCCTCTCTCCTTTCATTCTCATTTTCTCTTCATTAAAGTATTTCTCACTCTCAAATGGTGATAAATATCTTGATCCATTTCTTCACACATTGCTCCTCAACACTCTGCTTGGGACACTTTTTGTAATCCAGGATCTCTCAAGTTTATGCTCACATCTGTGGACATTATGGAAGAATTACACAAAGTCTCAATGAGCTGCATACATAAGCTATAACAGTATTGGGACTCAAGTGCAAATCCAAGACCAGCTGGCTGTTCTTGTGTCCAAAACATTGATGCTAGAGAATAAAACTGGTGGTGGTGGTGCAAGATTTGTGAAAAAATAGTTTATGATGTGTTGGACTCATAAACTAGAAGTGCAGATTTGAATCTGGAAATAAGGGATCCATTAGATTAGATTATTCAGGAAAAAGTTGTTTTTTTTTTCTAATCTCGCTGGAATTGTGTTTGTTAGTATGTGGTGCTATGTTTAAAGGGAACACATTATGTAAAATAGACTTTTATGAGCTTTTAACCATGTTATCACAGTGTTCCCTTGTGATTAGCTCACTCAAATTGTTTTTTGATTGATTTATGCACATTTGAGTCCTATATTGTTCTGCATTTGTGACTTCAATGAACCAAAAAATCTGTGTTTCCCTACCTACAAGCTCCACCCACTGCTCTGTAGGCCTATATACTTATATTATTATATACATTATTTTTGAAAAAATCTGTCTCCAAAACTGTTGAAAATGCCACTATAAAAGAAGCAGAGCCTCTGGATGTCAATATCTATGTTTTCTATTAAGTCTTTTTAAATCTGTATATGTCATGAATATAGTGTTATAGTATATCACTACAAACATATTTCCCTGTTACATATTTAACGATGGAGTGGTGAATGCACAACCTCCAGATATAACAGCTTGTTTTGTTTCCTCCAAATGCCGCTCCAAAATTATTCGACTCTTGATAAATGCTGCAAACTGACCTCCGGTGACAGGCCTCCTCTGAGACCGTGCTTTTAGCCTGACTAATATGATTTTCAGAGGGAGATGTAACGGTCGGTACATGACAGAGGAGAGACTGATGTGTGCTGTTGCCACAAACACTGCGTTGGTCCATTAGGGGCCTGCTCCTGTGTGGATCCCCATTTAGCAGCTGCTGTGTGCCGGCTCTAGTCTTCTCCCCAAGGCCTCTGTCTCACATGGCTGTTTCTCCACTCTGTACAGTCCACAGTTTGAGAGCAATGAGAGCAGACAGGTGTCCATCTTGCCCATATCGCCAGAGGGAGCAGACAGAGGAGGGACAGGGCACCGCAGGGCCACTGTCTGCTTCAATCTCACATACAGAGTGATGCTATGTCTATGCTAATGTTTGCCTCTTCCTTATATCCCTGGATGTATGTTTTGACAAATATTGTGTGTAGCAATTTAAAATATGCAGTCCCAGCAGATTTAATGTAAGACTTCGGAATCTTCCAGAGCAAAATTATTTTTAAAAAGCCCTTTAAATGTAGGCCTATTTAGTAAAAATATGCAGCCCCAGATAGAAAATAAGAACACGAATGGAGGGACAACATGTGCAATTGTTTTCGTCAAGCTGTTAAAATGTAGTAAAGGTTATTAATTATAATTATTTAAATTAACTATAATTAAAGGTGCACTATGTAACTTTTTGGTTGCGGGACATGCTTGTTTTTATGTATAGTCACTGCTTTACCTGGAATGTTCCACAGTATGACATTAAACAGCTCTGCCTTTCATTTATTCAATTACAGGTGGTTTTATAGTTCAAAAATATCTAGAAAAATTGGTATTCTGACTGTGAGCGGGGTTGCCTCTCCTCAGATCTGACCTGTAACTTGCCCTGGTTTGGTCTCCATGAAGATAGAAAGGTTTAATAACTTACAGTAAAACATTCCAGACAAAGCAATAACATCTCCATGAAGAAAAAGATTTTACAGACCCCCCCACCGGAAAAGTTACAGAATGCACCTTTAAATGATACATATTTTTCAGGTACCAAAACACATTTAAGTTGAGTTAAGTTAATAGATTAAGCTATCCACGTGACTCCTGTTCAACTTCTCATGTCACTAAAAATAAACAAAAGACTTTATTGATTCTGTCATTGCATTTTATATCAGAAATAACAACTCAATCTTCTACATATTTGTCATGGGGCTTTCAGTTGTAAAGTTGTTTTGGTTTTGATTTTATATTGCTCTTGGGGAACCCTTTATTACATTCTTGTGACATTAAACACTTGATTTTTAAACAGCGCTTCATAGCTTCTTTATCTGTGTATTCAGCCTCTGTCAGTCACTGTACTCCCTCCTGCTGCTGGAGCCCAAAACGAGCACCTGGGAAAGATTTTCTGTCTGTCTCTGATATTAAATATGCATCTCCTCCTCCTCCTCCTCACAGAGCTGTACCTCTTCTTCTTTTTTCTCAATTCCACTGTTCCCAGTTCAGGCTCCAATCGTGGAAGCAACACCTCACTTCACCTCACTTCACTTTTTGCTGCATGCCACACAAAAAAGGGGGGCATTTCGTCTGTTTGGGTATTTTTTAATAAATCTCTGAAGGTTTTTGTCAAAGAAGACGAAGCCAATGAGTGTTGTCACGCCTCAGCACACATGCAGAGGCTGGCGAGCGTTAGAACAGAGCACAGGCTAAATTGACTTGGGTGTGTGCTTTTTGTCAGTGTGAAGAACATAAAGCAGAGAGGGCACAAGTTGAGTTCTTGATAGCACTATACGTTTTGCCATAACAACACTTTTAATCCCAAAGAAGACAAATACATTTTTTATTTATTTTTATTTGGAATAATGATGATTATTAAAGTACCTGGTTAAACCAAACAAATAAAATGTTTTACAGACCTGAATAAGGCTTTGACAGCATTTGAGCCTAATATTTATAAATATATTTTTGGGGAAAACATGGGTGTGAAATCCTACTTATGACTCTAAAATATACATGCATGTCTTTTACTTTTACAATTTTGTTGTTTATTGCCTCAAATGAATTGCTCCTTCCATATGTTCATCATAATTAAGGGGTCTGGTTCAGTGGTTGTTTTGACTTTTGATTATATAAGCATATTAATTTGGCCTGCATGATTTTATTTAATCAGTTGTGAGATATTAATTTTGTAGACAAAGCTTTACTTAAATATTTCCTTTTATCCTATTATTAAATTAAAATGCTAATTAGACTGTCCAGACTGCACCTGTTGAGACTGAAGTGATGCTCACTAAACATCCATCTGACTGAGGTGGAAGTGCCTCTGCAGCTGGTGCCTCTGAGCTCAGACTTTAAATATAGACAGCAGCACACAAACCCCCCGTCTGCATTCCAGTCCTGCACATGGAGAGAAAATACGTGAGAAGACATACAGAGCCTCTTCAAGGAGAGTGCTGCAAATTTAGTATGGCATATCTGACAGACAGCAGGCTCAGTCTTATTAAAATCTGTATCAAAATGACAGTAATGCACCAGTTCTGTGGTAATACAGAGAATATCCATTAGTGAAGTACCATGAGACATGAAGCCAAAACTATATTCAAAACCTCTGCTCATTAGTGTACACACTGTCCGGCCGGGCTTGATTTCAGATTCTGTCAAATCTAAGGGGAGGTGAAAGGCGCTGGCCCCCTGTCTCCTGTTTGAATAACAATCCTTCATTCTAATTCAGCATGTGGAAAATATCTCACTCCACTTTTGGAGTCTGAGTCAGTGATATTTAATTAAAGAAGGCCTATAGAAAATATTGTATATCTTCCTGGCACGGTATTGGAAATATACAAGAAGGACATACACATTAATATGTTCACATTATGGAATCAAATATTGTATTCTAACTAATGATTATGCAAATATATATTTTAACAATACTGGAATTTTAGCAGGTATAATTATCAAGTATATTTTAGGTAGAATGTTGACTAACAAATGTAAAAAAATTAGCTAAAGGACATAACGACTTAAGGTGCATAATTATGGGGCACAGCTGACATGGAACAATATCGCTCAGGCTTCCTCACATACTCACAACCTGAACTTAAATCTGGACAGGCCCTGGTCCAGACCTAACTGTAGGTGCTGAGTTTCAACCGGGTGCAAAGACAGTCACAGTCTTACATAATATTGCAGGGTTTCATAATTTTACCTGCCCCAAATGAGGATGCATTAATGGTGGTATAATATACCCTTTTGCACCCTTCTGGACCTAGGCCTGAATCTGGATCATATTTGTCTCAAAGTAATTCATAATGGCCATCTCCATTGTAGGCCCACCTCTTTAAGGACAAGCTATATTGTTTTCTATTGTGTTAAATAAACCTGCTCATTTTGATTAAAAACGAGCCTTTATTTCATTTTCATTACTGTCTTAAATTAAACACTCTTCAGTTGTGTGTCTAAACTACTAGACAGTATTTTTGGACTCTAACCCCTAGCCACAGGTGTGAAAAGGCACACAGTTGAGGAAGCTTATCGATGCATGAAGCAGTTACTTTATCATACAGCTTTAACAGTCTTTAAACACCACCTTCTCTCTGCCTATGAATATACCTCACTTTATAAGTTCAGGGCGGTTCAAGAATTTGACCTACATTACTGCAGGCGGAATCATCGCGCTTAAACCTGCACTGACTGATGCAACGGGAATAGGATGTACTATAAGACCCGCCCACTGCCGGATTCTTGCTGATGATTGGCTAGATGTGAACTAGTGTGAGTTCTCATTGGTTAAGACCAATGTCTATTAGCCTCCTCGAGCGCATGGCCTAAGCTGGAAGAAGGAAGCCACGTTGACACAAAAGTAAAAGATTTTTGTCTCAATCCGGGGCCCGCAGGCACACTTTCTCACAGTCACGACTCAAGGACTTCACCAGGATTATCTAAGGACAGGTAAAATATCTTCGTGCTAAATAAAATGTCGCGGTTGTCATTGATTTGTAAGCGAGCTAGCGTTCACTGAAAGACAAACAGGACCTAGCTAAAGGAAGCTATCTTTTTATTGTTTGTTTCTCTTTTTTTCTTTTTCTTTGGCTCTAGAGATGAAGTTATTCCCAGTCTAGTGGCTTTTTATAAACAACCCTAGTTCGGCAACAAAAGATACAACCATTGTAAACCAGAATAGTTCTAAAATAGTTAATTGCACAACATCTGCTTTCTTCAGGGCAAGTTGCAGAATAGCCTGCCCTACCCATATAGCATACACAAAAGACAGCTATAATCTTGACTTGAAGTACAGTAGTCAGGCATAAAATGCTAAATATCTTGATGACTTTACTTTTTTTAATAATGAAAACAAAGGAGAGTGAAATGCTTAGTTTACTTATTTATTACCTTTTTATTATTATTTGCAATTGATAAATAGATCTTGATAGTGGGCTTTTTATTTAAGTTTTATTAATAAATATTGCTGTGTTTGTTTCAGGACAAAGACCTCACTTCTCAGGATGAGCGTTGGATTCATTGGAGCGGGCCAGCTGGCTCATGCACTTGTAAAAGGCTTCACTGCTGCAGGTGAGACTGATTCAACAAACCAGTGCTAAATGCTATTACAGACACCTTTTTAAAGATCATTTATGTAACATTACACTTACGTGCCCCTGAAGGTGTCATTGCCACTCACAGGATTACAGCAAGCTCCCCAGACACAGACTTGCCCACTGTGTCAGGACTCAGGGTGAGAACCCCTCATTGTATGGAAAATGTGGTTTGTGTCCCTTTAACTATATGCTCTTATTTTGATGCAGAAAATGGGAGTTAACCTGACGACTAGTAACAAAGAGACTGTCAGTAAGAGTGATGTGCTGTTTCTGGCTGTGAAGCCTCACATCATTCCTTTTGTTTTGGATGAGATTGGACCAGACATCGAGGATCGCCATCTTATTGTTTCCTGTGCTGCAGGTGTAACCATCAGCTCCATAGAGAAGGTTAGCTGAGGCCTCACATAAAACAGTGCTCAAATCTATGCAGAATCAGATCAAGGGTCCAATGTAAAGGCATTTTTGTCTTATTTTCTTTTATCAGAAACTGCTTCAGTATCGTCCAACCCCCAAAGTTATGAGGTGCATGACCAATACGCCAGTGGTAGTGAGAGAGGGAGCTACAGTGTATGCCACTGGGACACATGCGGAGGTTAGAGACTGATAAAGATGATAATGAAAAACAATCTATCTAACTATTATTGATCCTTTTAATTGCACCTTTTGAACATCAGGTAGAAGATGGCAAACTACTGGAGCAGCTCATGGCTAGTGTTGGGTTCTGCACAGAGGTGGAGGAGGATCTCATTGATGCTGTGACTGGTCTAAGTGGAAGTGGACCTGCATATGTAAGTTTTTGACTGAAAACTACATAACTTTTTGTGCTGTGTAATTAATTAATTAAATTTATGTGTTTATGTTCCCCTAACCTTTCAAACAGGCATTCACTGCCCTGGACGCTCTAGCTGACGGAGGTGTAAAAATGGGTCTACCCAGGAGGCTGGCTGTCAGGCTCGGCGCTCAAGCTTTACTGGTGAGCTATGATGTATTTTGAACAGTTAAAATGAACTTTACCTGAACTAAAATGAAAAGGAATATTGATATGCTCAAAAATAAAATGGGCAAATGTTTAATCAGACAACATCCTGTTCTTCTACTATTTGTTACCTCTGTAATACAGGGGGCTGCTAAGATGCTTCTAGACTCTGAGCAACATCCTGGCCAGCTGAAGGACAATGTGTGCTCCCCTGGAGGAGCCACCATCCACGCCCTGCACGTCATGGAGAGTGGGGGCTTCCGCAGTCTTTTGATCAATGCAGTGGAGGCTTCATGCATCAGAACACGGTGAGGTTAATACGGTTTTTGTTTGGTGTTATAGGTTGACAGACATGACTATTTTAGTGTGGCCAATATTTAGATTTTCTATTCTGATGTCATTTTGACACTTCTTTAAACATCTCTTTTTGTACATTTAGTGAGCTGCAGTTTCTCGCAGATCAAGAGCGCATTTCTCCAGCAGCTATAAAGAAGACTACACTGGACAAGGTGCTCCAACAGCCTGGAGTCGCCGTTAGTGGAGTGGCCAATGGCAGTGGCAGATCTGGGATCAATTTATTCAACAATCGTAGCTCAGGCATCAAGAAGAAGAACTGATCCCAAAGAAGCGAACACACAAGCATATATGTGCCCAATACATTTTGGACATATCTTAAATATTCAAACATTGAAATGCACTCAGGACTTAAACATCCAAATGGTTTTGATGCATTATTTATTCATGTACAAGTGAAATTGGATCAGTTGGTCCTGCCATCACATTTTCTCTCAAACACAGGTGCAGTGTGTAGTTAAAGCAGTTATGGCCTTATGCTTGGACTGATATTATGGCCAACATGTGTGCGAGATGCATTTACGAGCTGTCTTCAGTCTGGATATGGGTTCAGGTAATCAAGCTCTGTTTAGCTGTAATTACTATTTCAGCCATTGTCGGATTTTGATCACACCACAGCAGATGGTTACTGGAAGACTGCCAAGCTGTTTGAGTCTTTACCATTATCCATTATCAATTATGAAGTCTAAACTAGTTTTTTGAAAAAGACTTTGTTAGAATCAAAAACGTTATTTTAGTGAAGACTGAAAGAACAACAGAACAAAATTATGGATTAGTCATGCCTCCCAGCACGTTGAACATGCCTTATTTTAGTGTTGATATGTATAGCTGTACAGTTTATCATTTCTGATATTACCTTCCCTTTTGTAAAATATGCATACTTGAACTGCAAAACTTTATTCTGGGACACCTTTTTTGCACAAAACAACTGGTAAACTATCATGCTTTATTCTTATGTAGGAAGGGTATAGATCTATGCGCATTTCCGTCCTTTTGTTTGCTTTTTTTATGTATGTGTACTGTCTTTTATGTCTGTGGCACAACAGCAACTTGGTTGGTGTGTATATATATATATAAATAAAAATATAAAAAAGACTAAATGCAAAGGTTTTTATTAGTTTTTTGTTTTCCCCTGCCCCAGCCAGCAGATGGCGCACAGGGATCGGTGTGATTTGCTTGTACTTTGTTTGAAAAGCCCCATATGACCCTTAGATTGGCCAACATCATCCATCCATTCATCATCTTGCTTTATCAGGTCACATGGACAGATGTCCCAGCAGGGACTATATTTTCTTTGTACACTTTTGACTTGACTCTTGTCATTTTATTTTTTTTACTGGACAGGTGTATCCACCAAATTCTACAATATGAAAAATTAATTGGTATAGTCTAATATAGGTATCGTAGGTACCAGTAAGGTACTGGGGAAAAAAAAAGTTGTTGGGAGAACACTACCAAGTAACTAAACGGTGTGATCACAAGTGAATCAGAGATACAGTGGAATTCAACAATATTCTTATCTATTATAGACATAGGAAAACCAGGTATAAAAAAACAAAAAAACAATGGAGGTGCCCTGCCCTACTAAATTGAAAAACTTGAGGGTACTGTCTTCTCAGAGTTCTCTACAGAGTTCTGAACTTGTGTGATAGTAAGGTACAGAAGTGCAGCTGAGTGTTAGTGTTATGAGATTTCTGTAGCTAAAGAAACTGAATTCAGCTCAAGAGTTGTGAGGAACGTTTTAGATATTATGGGCAGTGCCAACGCTTCGAGCTGCTACATTTTGGATTAACAGATGCCACTTTGTGTTGGTAGGAGATAGACCTGTGGGTCTATTCATCTAGTGCACAGGTGCAGAATGTGGTCTAAAAATGATAGAAGAAAGTGGTGGTTTGTGAAGAGCCATGTCCTCATTATAATTGAACAATTTATAGCAGTTGTAGGATTAGTTTATTTTTTCTTAAACCAATCCACACCAGTGTTTCTCAATTAAATTGCAGCTTCGTGCTCTAAGTGCACTCAGCCTGTTTATTTGGGCGTGCAATGGTTTTTCCTCGGGTGCCGCAGTGTCGTGGTAATCCCTCTTTTATTCCAAAAGGTTGTTCTCCGCTTGTGCCCGCGCTGCCCGTTAAGATTAGCCATTGCTGCAGAGACTTCCATTTGCCTCTCATTATTCCACTTGTGTTACCTTTAACATCAGCTTTGTGCCTCTCTCCAGCCCAGGTGTAAAGGATGTGCTCTGTGTCAATCATGTTGACACCAGCCGCAGGTTTAAGGAGGAGGTTTGGTGACAGATAATCCAAAGAGGAAACTTGGGGCTCTGTGAAAGAGTTGAGAGGGCACAGCGTGGCTCCTCCGTCCACAGGTAGAGCAGCTGCTGCCTGTCATCCCCACTCAATCACTCTAATCACTGACCTTTGCAGTAACATGGTGTTTGCATGAGGTCTGGGCCAAGAGCAGAGCCAAGAGCCACCATTACCGAGCCGCTGAAAAAGAGGTTTTCAATATCTTCCCTACACCATGCATGCTTTCTTTTATCACACAGGCACTATTCCTTTGTATAAACATTTCTTGGCCTTAAGAAAAAAACTAAACTAAACTAAAATTAACTTATTACTGACTACTGAATTATTACAGTGGCTTTTATTTTCTTCTGTGCCAAGTGATCTCTAATAATACCGTTGGTTGCCAATGAAATTATTTAGCCTACATACTATTGTAAGTCATCCAAAGTTCTCACTTCTAATCTGAAAAGTAAAATCTATTGTTTCCTCAATAATTGCCACTGCAAATGACCTATATGGATAAATCAAATGCAATCGGACTCCACTGTACCAGCAGTTTTTTATATAAATGATTAGCAATTATGTGGAAATGGGAGGCTAAAACTGGCTGAGTGCTCTTATGGGAAGTTATTAGAACCTCAGAGAAGGAAATGGAATATTGACAAATGGCTACAAATTGTCCTTAATGATCAGCATTGTTTGCAAATTACACAGTAAATAAGATCAGCTGGTGTATTATAGATATGTATAATTGTTTAGTGCTGTTTATTGCTTGTTAATCTTGTAAGCACTTTTAAAACATACTAATATGAAAGCAGCTTTTCTAGTTCAGTCAATAGGTTTTGTTGGCAATATGGCGACCATCTCAAATTAATGTAAAAACAGGAAGTTGTGCCATGTGGTGGAATGGATGGTGAACGGATAATAACTGCTGTTTTATCAACCATAAGATATAATGGAATAGCAACAGGCCTATGTCAGTGCATCCCAGGAAAGTCAAAATTGTCAAAAGGTGATGATTTTATAGAAAATTTGTTTTAATAACTGGGATAGATACAGATGCACTATTACAACAACTTTTTAACCAGTTAGTGATATGATCATTCTTCATGAATTAAGATAGATAGATAACTGTTAATATTTTATGACAGTTTTAAAGAATATTTAAGAGTAACTGAAATGGAAATGATAAATTCGACTTGTGGGTGAAAATTAAGCATTAAAAAATGCATGTTTGTTAGTGGGTAAAACAAACAAACAAACAAACAAACAAACAAAAAACAACAACCAAAAATTTCTATAACACTGCCTCGGCTATAATAGATGTTAACCTGCTTAAGTCAACAGATCTCAGTCCAAAACACAATGCAAACATAGTGGGCTATTGTTTTAATGGGATAATGGACCTTGTGACTTGCCCCTCAAAGCCTTAGCTGGGGGAATGAGCAGCTGCGCTCTTCGTGTTGCTGTCCGCTGTCCCTCTCTAAATAGCGGCTGCCAATCAGTCGTGCAAAATGTACGCTCTAAGTTTAGAAGTGCAGGAGGTGGTGCTGCGAGTCACACTTTCCACTGACTGTTGTCCATCACAAAGTAGTAGCTACTGTTCCGTGTCTCTTTAAATGTGGCTTGCGTAGGTGCCTCATGAATGAAACCATGTGATCCAAACATCATTTGACGTCTGGCGCCTCCGACCACTGACTAAAACAAGCGAGGAAGGAGTGGATATATGTAGAGACCTAGGAGGAGGCGTGAGCGGAAAAACATTTCTCCAAGTATCTGTGTGCACCGGCTGAACTTCACCTCCGAGGGTCCACCGTCAGTGACTTCTGGTGAGTCAGCTGAAAGGCATATTTTGAAAATGCGCTCAAAAGTGCTGATTGTAGTGTCTGTTTTGCTGAGTGTGATTTCATAATAACACAAAGGGGGTGTAGCGTAGCGCTCGGCTGTCAAGCCTCGAAGCGGAGCCATGTGTCGGAATGAGAAGAGGCGCGAAGAGGGCAGCGCAGTCAGGTCGTCTTTTTGTGTAGTAAATTCTGCGTTTGACACAAACACCGGGCTTTTTTAAAGTGAAACTATAAAAACGGAGTTTATTAATAAGAAAATCCCCATTACTACACATAACCTTACCGCTAGCTCCTCGACTGTCCTCCCGCCGCGGTGCTGAAAGCGACAGAGACGCACAGCGAGCCGCTGTGGTCTCTTCTCCAAATCACGCGTTTTGTGTTTCCTGGCAGGTAAGACAATACGACAGACAATTTTATTTTCAGTTTGCGGCTGTTTGTGTGCGTTTGACTGTGTTTCACTAACTCATCATCGGTTTAATTAGAGGTTATGACATGAGTATTACGGGATCTCGGAAACAACAAAGAATACAACAATATCAACATCTAGCTCGCTTTGTGGCGAGTTTGTTGATTGTGATGCGATTAGCGGGGCTGAGCACCTCCTGGTTGGCTCAATTAGCGGAGTATTTACGTTAGAGCAGCCTGTAGCCTGCTTTTGAGAGGGCACTCGGTTTGTCGAGCGACTCTTTTGACATTTGCTTTGTGTCAGACACCTTTTCACGGGCTTCACGTATATCTTAGTAAACACTGTGATGGAGTGAGACGAGCGTGTAGCTGGTGTTATTGGTCTGGGGGCAGTGGAGCACGCCTGTAGACCGGCCTGGCTGCATAAACACTGTCCGGGTCGCTGCAGAGATGCTGATTCATCACAGCCGCGTTATTTCTGAGCGCGAGCGGAGGCACGAGGGAGCCATGGCAACAACATGGCACCGGCGGCGGACAAAGGTCTGGCTCCGCAGCTCGCGCTACCACCGGAACCCACAGTGGAAATACACCGTGATAAATAGCCCCGTTTGTCTAAATTCACCTATGATATACAAGCACGTGAGATGTGAAGAGGCACTCTAAACTATGATATATTTTATGATGTTGGTTTATAGCCGTCTTCACATTTAAGTAAAAGGACTTGTATTGTTGTTGGCCTACTGTCCATAATAAATAATTAATGACATTGAAGAACTAAACACTTACTACAATACCACAGTCTCTATTTGTCTGAGTGATTTAGAATTTCACCTTTACAACCAGGAAGTCATTCCGTTACTCTCTTCTTGACAAGAAAGACACAAACTTGTGTGCTTCTAGTCTCAATTCATGAGACAACAGATTATTACAGCAGCTTGTTTTGTGGACTGCACTTGAACACAAGCTGTGACACTTTGGTGAATCTCTTTGGTAAAAATCAATAAACAACTTAAACCAAATAAAAATTGTGACCGTAATGGTTGACATGAACTCAGACAGACAAAGATTTGTGCTATAAAAAGAACATGTGTAATGAGTTGAAACTAAATATCTTATGATTGATCTTTGGTAAATGGGCCATTATCTGCTGCCTTGTCCCTGCTCTGAGCACTGTGAGCCTTAAACACTGAAGAGTAATAGGGAAGCTCTGAGGGCTCAAGAAAAACAGAAACTTCACCCCCTAATGACTTCATATCAGCAGCTTTAGTTGGAGTCAGCACTCTGCGGAGTGTATCAAAAGTATGTAGTAAGCAAGTTGGCAAGTACTGTAATAGAGGGTCATAATGATGAAACAGTTGTATCAGTATTGGAGATGAGCCCCTCCTTTGCCTTCTCTCTCTTCATACACACATTCTCCCCATTTTCCGTTCTCACTGTGTGTGTGGACACACAACCTAGGGGCTAAGCTTTTTATACTTGGTATCAGTATTTAATCAGTGCTTGAAGTGCATTTCTCTGTCAAGTACTTTCTCCATCCTTCCCTGGTGTTCACGGTAATTGAACGCT